TCCTTCCCAATGTCCCATCTAATCCTATTATCTTTCAGTTTAAACCCATTCCCCTCGTCCCGTCCCTCCATCCCTTGTCTCCAGTCCCTCTCCAGCTCTCCTGGAGCCCCTTTAGGCCCTGGAAGGGGCTCTCAGGTCTCCTTGGATCCTTCTCCCTGTGAACACCCCCAGCTCTCCCAGCCTGGCTCCAGGGCAGGAATTGCTCCATCACCTCCTCTGGACTTGTGTTTTAACGTGACAACACTGTGTATCAACCACAATAAATTGCTTCATGTAAAGACTTAGGGGAAAAAAAGGATATTTAGTCCAACACATGATTTCTTTCCAGCTGTGGTTGTCTTTAGGGATTATGAATTTCTCAGGGCTTAATCCCCTAATCCTCGGGAGGGTTTGTCATCCTTAGTCGTGCAAGTGGTGCTGCTTTTCTCACTCCGGGTTGTCATTTCTCGTAGGTGTGTCCAGCCTGCTGTGAAATGCTGAAGGGCAAACCTGGAGAAGGGATGAAATCCCTCAGCTCTTATCCCAGCAGGGAGGAACTGGGGAGCACTTGGTGTGGTATGTGAAGGTTGGGTGCAAATCAGCTCCAAAGTCGAGCCCAGGAGAACAATGGGAGTGTGAACAGCTCCAGTCTGGTCATTTCAGGGAACTCATTTGCAAATCTACTGAAAAAAAAAACATAAATGCAGGAATTCTGCCTAATTTCTAACCAGCCTGATCCAGTGGAAGGTGCCCCTGGCAGGGGGTGGAAGGGGATGAGCTTTGAGGTCCTTCCAACCTTCTTGGGAATGGTTGGAGGTGAAACTGCAGGTCTGTCTTGGGAAAGGCACAAAGGGAAGTGGAATTGGAGCAGCTGGAGGTTCTGCCACGGTGCCACCACCACTAGATGTCAGTGGATGAAGGGAATGAAATTTGGGAGCAGTTTCTCCAGGATGCAGAGCTGGTGCACCTGCTGCTCACTGGGATCCCAGCGGGGTTTGAGCTCCTCTTAGTGATGTTCTTAAAACAGACCTTTTTAAACTCTCAGAATATTTTAAGTGGGATCTTTTTGAGGCTAAACCAGAAAGTTTAGAAGAGTAGGCTCACAAAACATCCCTGTACTGGAAGGGACCCCCAGGGATCATCAAGTCCAACTCCTGGCCCTGCACAGGACGCCCCAAGTTTGGCAAATTCAGTGATGGAGTTTCATCTTAAAATGACACAAAAGTGGGTTTTGGTTCTTAAGTCCTCTTTTATTTAAATATAGGCAGGTGCCAGATTGCCACTGGTTCAGCAGAGATCTTTTGGTCCTGAAGATCTCATGGAATCTGAAACCTTTCCCAGGCCTTGGGCCTCACTTGCTCTGGAGACCTGGCAAGGAGTGAGCTGCCATCACTTGTGTTAGTGGTGATATAAATTAGGAGTTGTTAGGAAGCAGAATAAACATTTGTAAAGTCCCTGAGGTTTCTCAGTCGCCTTATAAATAATGTTTATAAATTAGAATAATTCCCTGTAACTCTGTGTAGTTGTTTGCTGTGATCTCTTCCTGCAGGGTGAATTTACTGAAGTGTATTTAAAGCAACTGAGAGAAGCTCTATAGAATGAAAACACATCATAAAAATTACCTGAATTGCTACATTTTAATAAATCTCACTTGTTTTTTAGGTGCCATCTCAGCCCAGCTCTGGGGGGTTGAGTTACCCAAAGGTTGGGATGAAGCTGGAGAGCTGGAAATATCCAGATGTGAAGATCCAGGGTAGCTGCTGCTTTCACTTCCCCATCTTCAGAAGGTGAGTAGAGGTGGGTTCCCTCTGCTTTGGTTCCTGACTAATCATTTCAATACCTGGCTTTAGGTGCAGGTGATAGAGCAGCCCCAGGGATCTCTTGGGAAGACTGAGGAATTCCTGATCCAGTTCCATGTCTCTGGGTTGGGTTATTCCCACAAGGGCACTTTTCCTGGGGGATAACTGGGAATGGCTGCTGTTTGCTGGCTGGGTTTTTGGGCAGAGCCTGATCCTTGTTGGGCTGGGTCTGAGCAGGGCTTGGAGCCTGAATTGTTGTGTCACCAGCCTGAACTTGTTCCTGGCCTGGTGCAGTGAGTGATGTGCAAACAGGGCAGTGCAGACTTGGAGCCAGAGGAAGGAGCTGCAAGGCACAGGATTTAATGCAGTGGGAGTTCTGTGGAGCCTGAACCAGCAACAAGCCTGACCCAAATTTTTGAGTCTTCCCTTCTGCATAAAACTCTCCAGTGGCCTTGGGACACTTCAGAAACCAGCCCAAGAGCAGCAAATGTATTTAATGCACACTCTGTGCTGCTGAAACGGGGCTTTGTCTGCAGAATGACTTTGTATTTTCTACTTTTGCATTAAAGAAAACTATTACTGAGCTGCAGCACGTCAGGAGGATGAGTTTGGAGGGAGGGGTGGGTTTATTTTATTTTAGAGCTGAGTGGACACTGAGCTGAGCCTAAACAAATGCCTGAGAGGGGAATCCTGGCCCTGCAGGTCTGCAGACACCACCAGCTGTGGGTGGGTGGCTTGGGGTGTTCCATGGGCCTGAGCAGAATCCATGGGCCTGAGCAGAATCCATGGGCCTGAGCAGAATCCATGNTGGGTGGCTTGGGGTGTTCCATGGGCCCTGAGCAGAATCCATGGGCCTGAGCAGAATCCATGGGCCTGAGCAGAATCCATGGGCCCTGAGCAGAATCCATGGACCCTGAGCAGAATCCATGGGCCCTGAGCAGAATCCATGGACCCTGAGCAGAATCCATGGGCTCTTCCCTGGGGCTCTGGCAGCAGACACAGAGTGGAGCCTGTGTTTCCTGGCATCAGGAGCAAGGTCAGCCCAGCCTGGCCTACATCTTTCCTTTTTTTAAATTGTGATGGAAAAAAAAGAAAAGATCCAGGCTGATTTTTTGCTGAAAGCAGAAGTTTTTCACTTGGTTCCAGCTGATTATGGCCCCACTTCCTGGTCCCCTCCCTCCCCTGGGTCTCATAGGATAATCTAATTATTAAACAGCTCCAATAAAAGCACATCTTGCCCTGGCAGGAATAAAGCCTATTGATAGGCAGGATATTTTTGTGCCACCCTCGCCCTGTCCCTGCCAAAATGGGTTATTTTTTTGGATTTGTGGTCTGCTCCTTTAATACATTCCTTCCAGTCTAGGCAGAGCTCTCCAGCTGCCTGGCACTGCAGTTAATTCCTCACTTCCCAATCCAGTCTGCTCCTGAAGGAGAACTCTGCTCACATTGCCCAGCCCGGTGACACAAACCCTCCCAGGTGCAGGAAACATTTGTCACCCAGGAGGACCCTGAAGTGGGAAGGGAAGGTGGAACCTGATCCTTTTTGGCACTTTCCATCCGACTCTGGGTGACCATTCCCAGCCTGTGGAGCTCAACTTCCAGCTGGCAGGAACGTCTGGGACACAGGAAGAGGTTGTAGGGTGTTAAAAACAGGCTGTATGTGAGTACAGAGAATTAACTTTGCTAATTAAAGAGTGATCCCTAATCACTGGGGGGGGATAATTTAGGGATGTGCCTGTGTGGATCCAAAGTGAAAATCAGAGGAAGGGAACAGAGAAGCAACTGTCACCCCAGACTGGAGGGTGGAGTGTGTTTGGAAATAAGGAGCCTTAAGATAAAGAGTAAGGTGGAAATAAGAGCCAGAGCTGGGCAAAACTTTTGGAGAGGAAATCCAGCCAGTTTGGTCCCTGGAGTGACTGTTGGGATGGCCTGACACGCTCCAGGATCCAATATCCATCCAACTGGCAGCTTCCTCCTTCCTTTGGGTTCCTGGGAGGCCGGTGAGCTCCGAGCCTTAATGCTGAGGGAGCCAAAAAGCCACCAAACTGAGGGCAAATTGTCCTTGTGGGATGGATGGAGAATGGGAGACATGACAAAATGGCAGCTGTGGCTTTTACACCACTTAATTGTGGGATATGGTCACTGGCCTTTATACCTCTAATTAGAGGGGGGGGAAAAACTGTTTATGCCTCTAATTAGGAAAAAAACATTATCTTAGTTGGAGCAAACATAATTAAAGCTTGGGGTGAGCACTCTTGGTGCTCTGTGGGACTCGTGTCCTGTTAGAAAGTGCTGCAAAATGGCTGTTCCTGGGCTCCTGTGCCAGCTGGAACTGCTGATTTCCTTTGAAACTCCTGCTTTTCTAATTATTCATGGCAAAATAAAGCTCCTTCCCATATGAAGTCCTGGCTCCCTGAGCTCCAGGGTGAGCCAAGTAGGTGATTTCCTTCAGCCTCTGTGTTTTTCCTAATTACACTGTGCCAGTTGTTACCCACAGTCAGAGTTACCTGTGCTTCCCAATGCTGCAATTCCACGTTGAGAAAGGCTCAGCAGCACTTCTGGGAGGGGAGTTTGTCTTGGGGTTGCCTCGGACCTGTAAGGGGATAATATTTTCTGGTGCCAAATCCAGCCCCTTCTGTGAAGTTTTTGTTTCTCTGGCCCGTTTTTGGTACTTTCTCCCATTGAATTCAGAGGAGGAGAGGGAGGCAGAGCTGTGGGAGCTGCCAGGCAGGAGCTGGTGCATGAGCTGGAGCTTTTATTGCTGCAAACTGGGAAACCAGGGCCTTTGCCTCCCCTAAAAACATAAGACTTCCTTTAACACCTTCTCCTAAGCAAGATACTCTTCCTTTATTGCATGTTTTACATCTGGTTTTTTCAGCCCATGTTGCTCTGGGAAATCCTCCTGAGTCTCTGATGTTGGTTAATTCCTGAATCCATGTCTTTGTGTGTGGGAGGAGAGACAAGTTCATCCCTCAGGATGAGCCAGGTGGGATCTCCCAGTGTAAATCCCAATTCCTGGTGTCCCCCAGGTGTGTCCCTTGGAACACTCCAGTCCCAGCTCCTGCCCCTTGGGCAGGGGGTTCCCCCGGCGCCATCAGCACTAATAAAACTGGGAATCACAAAGAAAACTGGGAATCAAACTTCTGTGTGTGAGGGAGGGATCCTAAAGAGGATAATCCCTCTGTCCCTGCTGTGTGTGTTTTCCAGGAGAAGCTGTGGGGTCCCAGCAGTGGGAGGAGGAGGAGGATGCAGCAGCAGGTACGGAACAGGTTTGATTGGAGCTGCAGCTCCTGCTTTAAATTGCTTTGGGGATAATTGAGTGACTCCTCTCCCTGTGTCCCTTTCCATGCCCTGTTCCAGGGTTGGCAGTGGACAGGGGGGATTGCTTTGAAGTGCTCTCCTGCTTTCTGGATGATTCACAGTGGTAGGAGAGGCTTCCTGCCTTGCCATGACTTAGGGAAAAGCTCCATTTCATAATGTCTCCTTACTCTTAGCAGGGCTTGTGTCTGTTCCCAAAACTCCCACTGTTTTCACTGCAGGCATGACCAGACTGTGAAATAGCTTGGCTGGGCTGGTGAATAATCTCTGAGGCTCTTTTAATAAACTGCAGTTTTATTTATCTTGCTGCTCTTTAGAGCTTTTCATCTCCAAACATTGGAGTGCAGAAACTGTCCAGCAGTGAAACTCAGCCGTGGCTCTTGGGGATAGAGTGGGAGGCAGACAGGCAGGCATTTTTTTACTCCACAGTTTGGAGTGAGAGGAATTTTGTTCAAGGACAATGAGGGAAAGCTTAGCTTGTGTGCTGAGTGACCCTTTGATCTTCCACGTTCATGCTCAGCTGATCAGGACTTTAAATCTAAGCTCTGTCTCCCTCCTCCCCACAGCAAACAGCCAGAAATGTAATCTCCCCTGGGACTGGCCCAGGAGGGCTGGGCTGCAGGGGCAGCTGCTGGGCCCCACACGGGCCCTGTGCCCCTGTCCCCTCCTGCAGGGACACCCTGGAGCTCAGGGGTGGGTGGCACTGGGAGCTCAGGG